TCTCTCTCTCTCGCTCTCTCTCTCACTCGCTCCCCCTCCCCCCCCTCCCCGCTTTGAGGGGTGCTATGGTCTGGAGATTTATCCCCGCTGCCTCTTAGTGGATGCGAGTTAGTTGAGGTTAGTAAGCTTATTTAGCACCTGGCTGACTGTTCGGGCGCGGCCTCTCGTGGTGATAGAGGTTTACATATATTTGTGTACATATATTTAGCGAATTCTGTAATAGAATGAAAATACATGACATTTATTAAGCAAAACGATATAAAAAGTTTATATGATCTACCCACTGTGACTACGGTAATTGCGGATTTAATATGTGTACCTATATATCTTACAACGTATCAGATAAAATTAAATAGTCGCATCATTCTTCAAGGCTCACGCCCACATGGCACTCCCAGCTGTAGTGCCTCTGTGCACGGTCGCCTTCCTCTGCGCTATGCACCACGACTCTCTCGCCTAAGGTGGAGTGCATGTTCCGTAGACTTATTCGCACAACTTCGTCAGAATTCACGTGTCTGCGTTATGCGTATTAGACAAATGCTAACAAACGATCTTGAAACAGGTAGATAAAAGTATATCAATACAAACAGTTCTGAATAACTACGAAAACATTGCACACTAGAAAACTAAACACAGTTATGCAAATAAACAGTTATGCCCACACGAAGTCAAACAAACAAACACAAAACTGACTGCTTGTTTTCAGCAATCACCACGGACACACACACACACAGAGGCACTCAAACAAACACACACAATCCGAAAAGGACGAAAAGAAACGGATGAACCCTTGTTAAATAGAGGGAGAGAAGAGCAGAGAAGAAAAGAGAAAAGAAGAGAGAGAGAGGAAAACCGAATAAATATTTCAATCAGCCTGGCAGAGGCAATCTCAGATTTCACGAAGGGTAAAAAATATCAGCAAACGGAGGCTTCGGAAGACAAATGATGTGACAGGAATTGATTAAAATGCAAGAGCGACGGCGAAGGCGGTGGGGGGAGGGTAAAGAGTGTGGGTGAGGGAGAAGGAGAGGGACAGAGAGGAGAGAAAGAGAAAGAGAAAGAGAGAGAAGAAAGGAGGGAGGGACGAAGAGAGGGAGAGCGAAAGAAAGAGAGAGAGTATAACACTATAATACACCGTCATGGAGAAGCCGCAAGCATTTAAACCCCAAGTAGCTAATGCTAGGGGAAGCGAAGGAAAATCAAGATGAATCGTTTTAGTTTGTGTATTGGGGGAGAGAGAGGAGAGCGAGAGGGAGGGAGAGTAAAGACAGACAGACAGACAGACAGACAGACAGATAGATAGATAGAGAGAGAGGAAAGAGAGAGAGAGAGGTAAATGGCAGCGTCCCTGCAGCGAAAGCAAGCGGCTTGGAGGTCCGTCCCCGAAGCCCTTCCACCCTAGAAGCAGGATTCCCGGCGAGAAAAGAAAGGGAGCGAAGGGCGGACGAGGAGGAGGAGGAGGAGGACCCGGCGGAAGGAGGGAGGAGGGGAGAGAGGAAGGCGAGGAGGGAGAGGGGGGTGGGGTGAAGGTCTCTCGGGGTTACTGCCTTTATATCGTGATATTGATTATTCTCGTATTACATAAAGATGTGACATGTCGCCTTCTTCTAGATATTATCGGGAAGGGTCGGTCGAAGGGCGGAGGCAGGGGCCGGGGGGCGTGAGGGGGGGGGGGGGGAATCAGGTTGGCGGTGGCTCCTCGTCTCCCTTACTCGACAGGGAAATTCTGGCGACGGGAATGGGGCTGTTGAGACGTTGGGCGGCTAACCCCCGGCAAATTCGTTCTTATCAACTTTACGCCGCATTTTAAACGAGGCGTAAAGCACAGCGTTACGAATGAACGGGGCCTCAATACTTTTAACAATCGTGGGAAAAGAGAGCAATTCGCCGCATTTCAACAATGAACACATCTATGAGTCAGTTCACGATGATGCTGTGACACGAGGGGGAGGGGCTTGGCTGGCCATGACGTCACAATTGCGTCACACGTCCAGCTCCACCCGAACGGAATTCGATACTGACGGCGATCAGGCATCTCGCCGGACCCGCGATGCTGCCGGACGCTTAGCCCCAAGGCGACAGATGGGGGGTTGAGAGAGAGAGAGAGAGAGAGAGAGAGAGAGAGAGAGAGAGAGAGAGAGAGAGAGAGAGAGAGAGAGAGAGGGAGAGAGAGAGAGTAAGAAAGAAAGAGAGAGAGTGAAAAAGAAAGAAAGAGAGAGAGAGAGAGATAGTGAGAAAGAAAGAGAGAGAGAGAGAGAGAGTGAGAAAGAAAGAGAAAGAGAGAGAGTGAGAAAGACAGAAAGAGAGAGAGAGAGAGAGAGAAAGAGATAGAGAGAGAGAGAGTGAGAAAGAGAGAGAGAGAGAGAGTGAGAAAGAGAGAGAGAGAGAGAGTGAGAAAGAGAGAGAGAGAGAGAGTGAGAAAGAGAGAGAGAGAGAGTGAGAAAGTGAGAGAGAGAGAGAGAGAGAGAGAGAGAGAGAGAGAGAGAGAGAGAGAGAGAGA